TACGGACATAAACTTGGCTAGAGCCGGCTGACCAAGTATGGCGTGGTAGGCGGTGTTGAAGTCGGTGACGTAGAAGTTGATGTGCTCGACACGGTAGTTGCTAGCAGTGCCAAACTATACTAGGAGGGTGATCTCTCAAGCGATTTGGATGCCTTGCCAGGTACCATACCCCAGAAGGAGGAGTCGGAGGGTGCGAGGTCTCCTATCCCGAGGCCTAGCTCTTTTAGGGCTCCGGCGAGGAGGAGGTTCAAGGTGCTTTCGCCGTCGACGAGTACTTTCCGGAAAAGCATTTTCCTGACAGTTGCATTAAGAACGAGGGGAAACGCCCTGTATAAGGTATGTCTGCCCACTGGTCGGCCTTGCTAAAGGTGATGGGGACCTCAGACCAAGGGGCGATAGCTGGGGTTGGTGACGGCATCTTCCGCGTTGACGGCGAGCACCCGACGGGTGGTGAGCTTCCGATCTCTTCTACTTTCGGTGGTGGCGAGACCCCCGAAGATGGTGGCGACCGCTTTGTCGTGATCCTGGAAGGCGTTGTTGTTGCCCCCAGGTGGTCGGCGACCTCCGGCTCTGTCGTTGTTGTCGTTGTCCGGCTTTTTAGCCCTGAACTCCTTAGCCAAGCTGAGGCAGTCCTTCATCTTATGCTTGCTATTTTTGTGGAGAGGTCATGGGCCTTCGAGGATCTTCTTGTACTGCTCATCATAGTTGCGCTTGGCCCGAGGTTCGTCAACGGCGGCGACGATGTGGTCTGGTCGGTGGCGGCAATATTGACCAGATTTGGACCCTTCTGGCCGATCGCGGCCACTGTCCCGATGGTGATTGTGGTCATCGTAGCGGCGGTCGCTGTGGCATCGGTCGTCGGGTCGCTTGTTGCTGCGGCGAGTTGGGCGATGACTGCCCGCATCCTCGTTGAAGCGTACTTCGGCTTCTTCGGTGTCGGCGTACTGATCGGCGGTTGTAATCATCTCGCCAATTCCCTTAGGCGGCTTGCGATTGAACTTAGAGCGAAGGTCGCGGTGATGGAGTCCTCGGACGAAGGCGGTGATAACCTCATCTTCCATGATATTAGGAATATAATTCCTCATGTCAGAAAAAGCGTTTGATGTAGCTACGGAGGAGCTCGGATGGCTTCTGGTAGATGCGGTTCAGATCATGCGTGGTGCCCGGCCGAGTACATGTAGCCATATAGTTGTCGGTGAAAACCTTCTTTAGCTCTTCCCAGGATCCGATGGAGTCCGGGGTGAGGCTTGTGAACCAGTTCATCGCAGTTGGCGTGAGCATGATGGGAAGATAGTTTGCCATAATGCTGGTATCTCCCCCAGCGGCGCGCACAGCAGTGGCATAAGCTTGTAGCCACTGTGTAGGGTTCATTCATCCCTCGTAGGGCTCGACCCTAGTGATTTTGAAACCACGGGGCCACTGGAGTGTTCGGAGTGCCCTCGTGAATGCTCGGGGCCCTTTGGGATCGTCGCCGTCATGATGTGCGGTGTTGCCGACGTTGAGTGGCTGGAGGGCTAAGTACAGATTACCGAACTCTTGCTCGTATTCTTGACGGCGGCATACTTTTTCTTCATGGCGAGAAAAACGGCGCTCGTCGATACGTCGTCGCGCGTCTTGAAGATTGTTGAGGTGCGCTCGGACGTCCTGGTTGACTTCCTGGCCGGGTTGGCGGGGGTGGTCGACGCGGTTGCCCCTAGGTCCCCCCTGGAGAGGTTGTCCATCATCGCGGTGCTGGTCGGTGAAATGACTTCGGCTGGGGCGGTGATTAGATCTTGGCACGGCGGATCAAGCTCGTCGAGTAGGAGGGTCTCTGATCCTGACGGATCTCATTGACCTGGCAGTGCGCCGCTTTAAGCATGGCGGCGACCTTGGCGACCTCCGGTGTCTACGGGAGCTGGGCGTGCTCGTTGGTGGCTACGACCAAGTTGGCGCTTGGGGTCTTGTAGACGTCATGGCCATCAACATGGACAAATTCGTCATCGAGGTTGCGCTGGAGTTGGCGTGGCCTTCCTTGCGAGTCGAGCTGATCATTGCGAGCAGCCTCGGCTAGCACAAGGGTAGCTTTGTTTGCTCGGCGCTGCGCATGGTTGGCGTTCTTGTTGACGCAGGTGGCGCGGTCCTCCTCGGTTTCCCCGTCCCTTGGGGGGCTGACGACGCTAACGTTGAAAATTCTACCACCACGGAAGGGAGGGAAATGAGGTTGTACGGTGGTGGTTTCGGCGACAGTCTCCGTAGAATACTGGGACTCAAGAGTCTGGATTTTCCTCCAAGATGGTTTGGAAGGATGCTTCGGGGCGTCGGTCGACGTGTAGCATGTTGATAGCCGGCTAGAGTTGGTCGATGAGAGGATGGATATCTCCCACCTGGTCGGCGAATTTATCCCTTAGGGCATCTTGATAGGCGGCGGCAATGCTGGTGAGCTCGAAGGGTAGGGCCGTAACCCCCGGAGCTTCTCGATCAACCTCCGATAGATCTAGATCGGAGGGTGGTCGGCACTGAAATAGAGTGGCCAGAGCCGATTCTAGCGATGGTGAGGCAATCGGCGAGCTTCTGGCCAACCTGATCGATAGATGCGACCAGATCATCGTTGTTGATTTGCCTCCTTAGGTAGCGGGGGAGCGGGCGGTGAATTGTCGGCGAAGACGACCTCGGAGCGGTTCCGAGATTGGATCTGCAGTCGTAGGTGTTGGGGTGATCGGCGCAGTATTGATCTACACCGGCTCGATGAGCTCTCCGATTCCGTCAGCGTTGATGATCCAGGAGATCGATCCGACCATGAAGATCTGGTTGGGCCGTGGGAGGGACGAAGAACCTGCAAAACGTACCATCTTGTTCGACATGGAAACAGCACGCACACCCCTATCTGGCGCGCCAACTATCGACAGAATATCGTCGATAGTTCACCGAGTGGTATCCCACGAAGGTAGATTGATCGGCAGAGATGCGTGTAATCGAGAACAAGAAAGCAACAGAGACACACGAGTTGGACAGGTTCGGACTGTCAGCACGACGTAATACCCTACTCATGTGGTCTGTTAGATTGTATTGGCTATCGTATGATATTACGTGTGTTTAGAGCGGGTCCCTGCCCGCCTTATATAGTCCGGGGTAGAGTTACAAGTCGGTTAGATCTGGGAGATAACCGAAAAGTAATAACAGATTACAGGAATCATGGGATCATACGTATCCTAACAGATCTTGTAGTATCTTCATGATATCTTCTCGGTGTCTTGCAGGATACGCCGAGCAGCGCCGTGCCCCGCAAGGCTTCGTCTTGTAGGCTGGGCCGCCCCTGGGGGCACAGGCCATGTGGTTTGCCGTGGGTATGCGGGGTCGTACCCCCACACAAATACTCTTGAGAGAATATTAGATTATGCGATTTTGCCACAATTAATTAAGATGCTAACTAAGCAAAACAACGATTTTATGATGTGACATTGTAATTAAAGAAGATATGAGAAAATTATTTCTTAGATAAGAAACTATGTCAACACGGAAAACAAAATATAAAGACGTGGTAGGTAGATAATGAAGAAAAGAGATATGTGATTAGATATCAGTTTATTTTGAAGAAACTACTCCCTGTCCCGCTTTAATGGTCGCTTTAGCTTATTACCAGGTGCAGCGACGATTGAATGCACTCTCCTATGCTATGTGTCTAGATGCACTCTACTATGCTATATGTGTAGACGATTGAATGAACTGCCACAATGACCTTTAAAATGGGACAGAGGGCCTATTAAAAATCTATTTCTTATGTATAGTGTCTACATGATTCAAGTGACACGGAAACTAGATTTAGTTTTTAGCATTAGGACTGTCTAAAGAGACAACCCAGATGTCGTAAAGTACGACTTCGACACTATTTGCGTAAAATGACTTCAACACTATTGTCGCAATGTAGTGACACGTAAATACAGCCGAGCTTGCCGCCTTTGCAATTTTTCCTTGTCTTCTTGCGAAATGCAATGTCACTTGAAAAACAAAATCTCTTGGGACGAGTACTTGCGAAAGCCATCATCTACTGCGCTGCTGGCTGCTGCTCCAAAAACTAACAAAAGAACACTGTTTATCAAGCCAAGGAACTAGCAGCCGCAGCCACAGCCCACAGCCGTTGCAAAATAATCTGAACCGAACACTCCATTGGCAACTTGACAATCAACTTACTACGTTTGAACTGTGGAATCAGTTGTTTAATATCTAAATCTTAACCAAACGATGCTCGGATCTCTTGTTTATTTTTATTTTGAAGAGCGCAACAACGTGTAAAATTCTGTTTGAAAGGTGAACAAACTGTAAAACTTCGTTAAGTGAACACAAAAAAACACATCCAAGGCCACATGTATCATATACTACTTTGCCCGTTCACAGAAGAATACATTTTTATTTTTTAAGAAGTTAAATGATTTGAAGTTTGATTAAAGGTATATAAAAACATTAGAATTTATGATATATAAAATAAATCTCATTATTATTAATTATAAAATATATTTTTGTAGTAAATCTTGTCGGAGACACAAATATTAATAATTTTCACTATAAATTTAATCAAATTAAGCAAATTAGACTTACACAAATTTCGTAATAATTAGATATTTTTGTGTACCGATGGAGTCGTATACGAGTACGCCACAGCTGTGTGACGTGTCTGGCTGACTGCCGCCGCTGTCAGAATAACAAAATCCTTTGTAAAACCCCCACCCGGCCACCCCGCCGGTCGGGACGCCGGGATACCCGGCGCCAGTCCGCCACCAACCAACCGAACCCAAAGCCAGCGCGCGACCGCGAGTACAAGAGGCAGTGGTGCGCCGAACCGGCACCCCCGCGTGCGGAGCGTGCTTGCCTCGCACTGTCACAGTCGCGCAATCCCTGCTCCATCTGTCGGTGGTCGCCCCGCTTCATCTGTCATCTGCCATCTTCCCCAGTGCAGTCCCCCTCCCCCTACACTCTCTCCAGTCTCCTTCTCGCGTCGGCAGTCGGCTTGGGGCAGGGCCGAACCAATGGCGGTCGACCCGCGGCAGGTGGTGGCGGGCTTCCTCACCCTCTCCATGTTCGTCATGCTCGGCAACATGATCAAGCACGACCACTTCTCCCCCGTCACCGAGGTTTGTTTCCCCCTTCCCCTTTCTCTATCGCTTTCCTTTCCTGGGTCTGGTGGCCGCTTGTTGGTTCTTGATTTGGTGGCGTGTAGCAAATCTGTGTGCTCCGAGGATCAGTCGTTCGTTTCGACGAATCCGTGTTGTTTGGGCGACGGAGGTTCAGATTGGGGGATTGGTTCCGTTGTTGGTCTGTGTTTGCCCTGGCCGGTCTGCGCAGAGTGTAGTGTGTGATCAGTGTTTCCATTTCAGTCCAGTCCTTGCCAGATCTCAAGCGATTTCGGGATCCAATGCTGAAGGCGGATCTTTCACTGGTGTGTGGCCTTGACTTTTGGTTTCGGGGCTTAGCTAGGGTTTATATTATTCAATTCCAGTCCATAAGCACGTTGCCCCATGGTTATATTAGGTAGGTGGTCAAAGCAATCAGAAGCTTGGTATCTGTAAACTATACATTATTATGAGCTTCCCCAGAAAAAAGGCCTGGTGGTAGCCCGCATCCTTGAGAAGAAAACACCAACCGGGGAATATCATAAAGCAAAAGGGCCAGTCACTATTCTTAAATTTCTTTATTGCAAACAATCACTATCATCAAGCACATCTTAAAATTTGAGATAGCTCCCTCAGTCTCTCCATCAGAAGAACAAACAAACTGGTATCCTGAACTAACCGGCTGCATCTTATATGTTAAACCACTGAATTATTAAGCAGTCTTGGAAAGGATCCAGATTATTGCAAAGTTTTGTTTTTTCAACTGATTCAGGCATTCCATAACCAAATCCATGTTTGCAGGAGCTGGGCTTGGAGGCAACAGGTTCGGAGTCGAACACAGTGAAGCTTGACAACAATGCTGAAATGAACAGCGTTGATACGGCTGGAGTGGAGGACCTGATGGACGCTATCGAGGAAGTTAAACCTTGCTGGACCAAACCAAGTCCAAGTAAGTAATTCCATATTTTAAAATTTTACAAGTTCTTCAGATCTGAACCTTTACCTGAACAATGTGGTTACTCATACTACTGACTACTGCAGAAAATCAGCCATCTAATGGTTTTGTTACATTCTCCTTGACTATGGGCCCTGAATACCACATCTCACAGGTGAGCCTGTAACTCTGAACTTTTTGGCATAATTGATTGTGTAAGCAAAAAACAAGCTACACATCTGGATATTCTATTTGACTGAATACTTGGAACACCATTTCCCAAGCTACACATCTGAATATTCTATTTGACTGAATACTTGGAACACCATTTCCCAATTTTATCTGCAGATCACAGATGCTGTGGTTGTTGCAAGGTATCTAGGTGCAACACTTGTACTCCCAGACATCAGAGGAAATGAATTAGGAAATAAGCGGTATGCTTCTTTGACAAGAAGACAATTTTCAATTTCCCTAAGATGAACCCTGATGTGAATACATAAATGATGCAAATTCTTGTCCATACAGTATGAGCCTTTAACTTCTAGGAATTCAAAATTGTTTTCATAACTGTCACAATTCTTGTTCATCTCAACTAATGACATAAGTTTTGTTTACAGAAAATTCCAAGACATGTACAATGTGGATAAATTCGTGAGGAGCCTGGATGGTGTTGTCGAATTAATAGATGAAATACCTGATGAAGTGAGTGCTAAGAAGCCAGCAGTTATCAGAGTACCAAACCGTGTGACTGACAGCTTCATCACGGACACCATCCAGCCCATCTTCCAAAAAAACAAGTACTTAAGACTAGCGGTCATTTTTTCTTCAGTAAGTTTAAGGCCAAAGGAGACCAATAACAAGGACTTGGATGCAACTGCTTGCCTTGCGATGTTCAGTGGCCTCGAACTGAAGCATGAATATTCTGAAGTGGCCAGAAAAATGTTAGATAGGCTTCAAGAATTAAGCAAGAAATCAGATGGGAAGGTCTTGGCAATCGATTTGCGGACCGACTTGCTGGAAAAGAAGAGTTGCAAGACAACCAGAGGCGCTCGAAGAAAAGGCTGCTATAACCCTGAAGAGGTTCTGGCTTTCCTCAGGAATGTTGGCTTCTCTGCTAATACAACCATCTACTTGACAGAGACGTGGTGGCACAAAGGCCTGAATGATCTGAAGGAAGAATTTCCAAACACTTATACCAAGGCAAGGAACTTACTACGCATCTAATAGGTGTCAATTATATTCTGTTTTGTCCAAGCATTTCTTCCTAAATGCTATACATTGAAAGATAATCTCATGTTGCCTTGCCATGGTATTAAAGCTGTCAATAGTATTGTGTCTTATGCTAACTGATATAAAAAGCTAGTCTTATATTGCATAGGAAAACAAACATAGAGCTCAGGGGATACACCCAGTTTGTGCATCACCTTTTTTTGGACTTCATGTACACAGTCATGCTTTTTAGGTAAATTAAGTGGTACACTTTTGTGTTTCTGCAGGATGACATTATGCCAGCTGAGAACAAAGGTGAATTCCTGAAATCTAGCAATGCAGACTTAGCAAGGGCTCTGGACCTCGAGATCTGCTCACAGAGCGACGTGTTCATCCCTGCTGTCGCTGGCCTGTTCTATGGGCATGTCACAGGTAAGAGGATCGCCTCTGGCCGTACCCAGATCATTGTGCCTTCTCAGTCCAGCACCTCAACCCATGCTTCAGATTTCATCTCCACCTACATCTCCAACAAGAACCACCTTGCCTACTCATGCTACTGCTAGTATGCTTTTGTACTGCCATTAATAAGATCAGCTGAAGTGAGCCGCAGGGCAATGCTCTGGGTGCATATACAAGTACCTCTCGTTAACATGATGTTGTACACTAGTTAATGTTTTGTTTTTGAGGAATATTAGCATATGTTTACTTGGTTACTTGTTTGGACTTGGACATTGAACTTGGAACAACAGCAAGGAGCATAAACTGCTTGTATGCTGTAAAATGAACGTGAGATTAGGCGTGTGAAAAGAGTTTGCTTCATGCACCTTGTTGCGCTCATCATCTTCTGTCTGCTCACCAGTTGATGTAGTAATTGCTCTGGAATTCTCCATGGGAACTGTGTGCGTGAGCTTATGCGATTCTGCTGTGATATTGCGAATTGCCATCCAACATTGTAGATGGCGAAATTTCGATGGCGGGGCTTCATGATTTAGGGCCTGCTTGGCAGAGCTTTTGAGCTGAATCGAAGCTCTGTCAAACCGTTCTTTTCACAGAGAAGTGATTTTCTTAAATGAAGTGATTCTGTAATCATTTTGTGAAGTGATTTTCTGACAATGAACTGGGAGGCTAGGTGCTGACGCTCAGAATTACTTTTTACTTAGAATTTATCCTATAGATTCATAAATAATCACTTCTCTTGCTCGCAAAAAAATAAATAAATAATCACTTCTCACTTCCCACCGAGAATCAGGACTCTATCAAACAGTCTCTAATGCAATCAGCAGTGCTCATCACCTTCTGTCAGTTCGCCAGTTGCAGAATTTGCTCAGCTTTGTTGGTGTCTCCGTCCCAAACAAGGTTGTTTGGCCAGACACGTATCTCGTCCGATTTCGATCGCATGGTGCTGAGATCGTTGCCTGGCTAGCGAGGTACAGTGTCTGCCAGGGCATGTTCAAACTTCAAACTTCAAACAGGTCCTGTGTTTTGTGGATGAGCGAGGCGCGTTGAGCAAATGAGTGGTCGTGGCATGGGCTCGTGCTCCCCAGTCCTAGAGTCGTCGTGGCATGGGCGTTGGGCCCCGGGCGAAAGACGCTGCGATTGCCTGCTTGCTCCAGGCCGCGGTCCCCAACTTCCGGTCCCGCCGTTTGGCCAAGCCAGTGGTGCCGGCGCACGCAGGCTTGCAACGGTGGAGGGATGCATGTTTTGATGCTCTGACCCCTTCCTCACTGCACATTCCTGTTAGGCTCCCGGAACCGGGATCGCGAATATTCGTTAATTCTCCAGTCTCCAGTAGAACACGGCGAGCACTCATGGAGTGCGGCGTGTCCGCCATTGGTGCGCGTGGTTCTTGCTCCTGATCAGGCCGCACCGCAGCATATACCCTTCTGTTTCATGGATGCGCCGCGGAGGAGTAACACAGCAAGGCAGAACGCAGAACAAGCCGCGCGGAGTACTGGATTCGATTTTCCGCCCGGGAACGCGCGCGCTTTCGTCTTCTGCAGCAATAGAAAAGCAGGCACGCCCCCTGACCGCATGGGACGCCCGCCCGGTGCAGCAATAGAGACGAGCACAGCACTACATATAGGGCCTGTCTGGTACAAAAACTGCAGTTCGCAACACAACAACCAAGCCACTGTCTTCTAATAGTTCAATTCGATGGAAATTCACTGGGGTCTGGGGATGTAGGTTTAGTTTCAACAGAATTTGCAAGGAATTAGAAGGGTGGTATAGCACCGGCATAACGATCTTCTGCAGTGATGCACCCCGCACCAAGAGCCGGGTCTCTCTTTTTATTTCTCTCTGGATGCGTCTGCATCTGCATATATATGTAGGGGTAATGCACGCCCTGGCTGTTGCTTCAGCTGAAGCTCCTGATGAGGATCTAGCCTGGCTCAGTGACACAGCCTACGTCTGCTTCAGAAAACACTGCTCAAACAGACGCCGGGGAGGTGCTCTTTCCTAATTAAACGCCCTTTGATCTGCAGTGCTGCACTTGCGGGCGTACCTGCCAAGTTTCAGCTCTTGCCGCCTTGCTCTTCATCTGCAACATGCAACGCAATGCACGTAGGCACTGGTGTAAGCTGCTTATTAATGCAGATAGTCAATGGGAAACGATCGGTTGTCTAGACATATACTCGTAAAACAAAATCATTTCTCTTCCTCGTAAAAAATTATAAATAATCACTTCCCACTTTCCACCGAGAATCAGGAGCTCTATCAAACAGTCTCTAATGCAATCAGCAGTGCTCGTCACCACCTGTCAGCTCGCCAGTTGCAGAATTTGCACAGAAGTGAGCCACGCCTGCTTTGTTGGTGTCCCCGCAGGTGGGGTACTGCGGGGTAGTTTGGTTGACTGCCAGACACGAATTTCGGACGTCCGATTTCGATCGCATGGTGCTGAGATCGTTGCCTGGCTAGCGAGCTACAGTATCTACCAGGGCATGCTCAAACTTCAAACAGGCCCTGCGTTTTGTGGATCGATAATGATTCTTAAGACGGACGGACTGACGGCGGACGTGTTAGTTCCCGCCCAGGCTGCTGCCTCGTCATCTGAAGATGGTCCAGCTACAAGCAAGCCCAGTGAGCGGCCCAAGGTGCAGAGGCCCAAAAAGGCGAACCCCAAGTACTACGGTGGAGAATGGGCCGGCTGAGGATGCCTGCGTGCATGACAAGTGGCTCTGCCTCTGTAATCGTTAAAAGAGTCGTGTGAGAGGAGAGAAACAACTTTTGTCAAACCGAATTCTGTTTCCCTAAACGAGAACTCCGTCGTCCCACTATTTCTCTTCTTCCTCTGGCTTACTCTGTTCCGATTCTTCCCAATTCTCTCCTATCCCCACTGCTATTTCTCACATTTGGTATCAGAGACATCCTTCCTCGGTCCTTCCGTTCGTGCGTCCTCAATCCATCGATCGAATAATCCATCTGAGCCGGTTGGTCTAACCCGTTGCGATCTGTGAGCTGCAGTATTGCTTCGGGATTCCGTAATTCCCCTCTCCGAATAGTTCGATTTGTGGCGGATTGCAGTTATGGATCGATCCGATTCCATCCTTCCTCACGACCACTACACCCGCCTGCAGCGTCAACGCGGCGCCATGAATCCCGAATCCAAAATGCTGCTCGAGGAGTTGGACAAGCGCTTCGCCGCCGCCGACAAGTGCTTCAACAGACTGGAGCGTCAGATCCAGACCAACGACTCAGCCTCCTCCTGGATCCAGGCCTTGGAGAAGGCCACCCAAGTCTTCGACGAGTGGCGCCCCGGCGTCGACGGCGCCATAAACGATTTGAAGATTGAAGTCAGCAAGCTCTCTACCTTGAAGATGGAGGTCGACAAAATCACTGGGAACACTCGCTGGTCGACTCCGCCACACTGGCTCCAGGCGTCTTCGCACCTGCACCTCCTTCGCCGGTTGCTGCCATCGCCAACCACAAGTCCGCCACTCCGAGCGAACCCAAGCCTGTTCTCGGAGGCGACTTCCTGGCTGCCCCGCGACCATTTGCGGGACTCACAGCCGAACGGCCCGATGGGCACAACGTCGAATTTCGGAACCGGGACGGTTATTTCGGAGTGGTTACCTGTCGGGTTCATAAACCCGGGGTCCCTCACGGACCGGCTTCCCAACAAAGGCTCCGCCCAGCAGACAACGTTCCAAACGACGCACAACTCATGGGCCGGCCCAAAAACACCTAAAACGACAGGCCAGAAGGACAATCCAATCTCCGACCGGAAGGCCTGGCCGAGGAGAAACGGCGCCCGCTTCCAACTCCGGCCCGCCTCTCCGACCGAAAGGCCTCACAAAAGATAAACAACGCTCGCTTCCGACACCGACCCACCTCCGGACGGCCTCTCCGACCAGAAGGCCTGGCCAAAACACTATTTCTGACTCCGACCCGCTTCTTCGACCGGGAACGCGCCGAACCCCTGCTTACACCTCCTCTCCGACTGGCGCAATCAGAAACAACTAGGACCAACCGACCGGGGACGCCCGCTCGATAAGGACCAGGAGACGGACGGAGAAAGTAAGGCAGGGCACTCAAGTCAACCGCAATACCAAGGACCGTACCCTGTACACCTGCCGGACAGTACCCTGCGACCTTCCTGGCATGACAGAACCCAAGCAGTGTTGTAGGCGCCGACATTTCCCCTACAGTGTTGTGGGCGCCATCAACTCCCATACCAGACAAACACGATAAGGCTCTCCCCACGTGCCTCTAAGGCATCAATAGTGTTGTGGGCGCTGGCATTTATCGTACTAGGTGAACATGGTAAAACCCCTTGCGTATCTCTGGGTATCGACAGTGTGGCAGGCACTGACGTCTGCCATGCCTGAAGAAGACGACGCGACCTCCCACATGCATCCCACGCGCATCGCCATCGAGCTTGGCGCTACACGACTCTACGTCTGCGGTGACTCGAAGTTGGTCGTTGACCAAGTCATGAAGGAGTCCTCCTGCAAAAGCCCCCTCATGGCAGCATACTGCCAGGAGGGCGCAAACTCGAGGACAAATTCCAAGGGATCGAGCTGCATCACATCCCCCGAAAGGACAACGATGTCACCGATTTTCTCACAAAATTGGCCGCCAGGCGAGGTCCGTCTCCGAGCGAGATCTTCATCAATGATCTCCACGAGCCGTCCGCCCGCATCCTAGAAGGTCCGATCCATACACACCCCGACGCCATGCGGCGCTAGCTTCGGCTCCGACCCGACGCTAAGCCGCGCTTTCGGGGCTCACCCCCAGATGCCTCTATGACAACGTCACCCGCTGACGTCGCCGTATTGGCACTCGATCAAACCGACTGGCGAGCGCCGCTACTTTCGCCTACCTCCTCGAGGAGGTTCTCCCACCCGAAAGGACTGAAGCCCAATGGATCGCTCAATGTGCCAAGACCTTCGTCGCGCTCGATGATGAACTCTACAAAAGGAGTCCATCAGGGGTGCTCATAAAGTGCATCCCCACCAACCAGGGGAAGCAGCTCCTCCTCGAGGTCCATGCCCAGGTTCTTAAAAGTTGCAGCCTACGGAACGAATGAGCAGGTGCGAAAAAGAAAGGATAAAAACAAAGCTAT